GAGTTGCCATCCAAGGTTAACGAGTCTCGTCTACCCGGGGTGCTGGTGATGTTTTCGCTTGACTGGGCTTTGGCTGGAATTGAACTCTAGACCACCAACATGTGATTTGCTCAGTTTAGACCACTCAGCTACCATATATTATAAAGACCCAATTATTAAATAACGCCTTGATTATGGGGGGGGGGTGGTTGGGGGAGAATCACGAAAGGGAGGCAGCTGCGTAGAATTGGAATTCAAAGCTGTTCCAGTGGTTGTTTCTCTTGCTAACATTCGTGACGCCCTCTGGAAAGGCAACCATGTTCCGAAGGCGTGTCTCTCTTAACGCTAGGTCCTGAAATAAGCACGATGTAAATTATGTCGTTTACCACACATTCACTGCTTTGATCCTTGGTGGGGTTTTGTGTTGTCCTGAAGCCCAAATGCTGGATGTATTTGGTTTTGATTAAAGGCTGTCAAAAAGAACTTAATTTAGGGGGGTTGGGGTGGGGGTTCTATTCAACGAATTACGAGATTTCAGTCTTTTTTTTAAGGAAGACTTTGAGATCCCGTGGTATATTTGTAAATTCTTTTTGTATACGAGATGTAATTGATTGAATACTTTTAAACTGATATTCGCTGCGCGTCTGAGAACCAAAAGCAGCCATCGACAGACGAGGTTTAACGCGAGGGCTCGCTCTCTTAGAGTCAACATTAGATTTTCAGAATTTTTTGTTAAAGCTCCAGCTGAACACTCTTGCTTCACCATAGTGGTTGAGAGAATGGAAAAAAAAGTACACTGAACCAGATTTAGCATTAAAAATGTGTGTTAGTCATGTGACTGACTCACATGACTAACACACATTGTCTTGTCATTGACTTGTCATGTTGAACATGACGTGTGTGTTGCACTATTTTTAGTGCATTTTCGCAATCTTTAAATAATTGACAAAAGTAGAATTATTATTATTTTAAAAAAACACCAAATGCTTATCTTAATCCTGGTAAAGGGGATTTAACTCTTACCCAGGCATAAAACTAAAAAAAAAGTAGGTACGCGCTCAACCACCCACCCGTTCACTCAACGAAGCAGACGCGTTCAACCATAATAATTTGAGCGACAGTGTCAACCCGCCTCCTTCAATTCCCAGCATTCCTCAGGTGAACACTGCACGAGAAAGACTCAATCTTAACATGTCGCGTGTGTCAATGAATACAAAAAAATACACTCCACAAGATGGAAGTGTCAGTTGAAGGAAAGGGCTTACAAGTAAAGAGGAAAAAGAAAAGAAGAAAGGTATTAATTTTTTTTTGCCCTGGCAGATTTTGAAGCCCTGAGTTTTGTCTTACTAGCCAATTCTCGAACTCCATGGATTCCAAGTTTTAAAGGTATGATGAATGAGGAATTCGGTTTTCCTGGATCTTGTATCTGCATCGCTTGTCTCTCTCTCTTTCCCTGGCTCTTTCTCTCTCTCTCTCTGTTTCTGGTTTCTCTCTATATCTTTCTATCTCTCTCTCCCTCTTTCCATCTCTGTATATATCTCTCTCTGTCTCTCTTTCTCCTGCATTGACATCAGATTCGCCGAGATTCTAATGAAAACATAACTGGGTGGGTTTTTGTGTGAGTTGCATTTCATCTTTTCGTACTCTCTTCTAATACTACCTAGTGAAAGTGACAGTGGCGAGTGATAAGTAAATTTAAACATACTTCTTCTATGCAGCATTAGCAAATTAAGAGGATGATTCATAGGAATTACACATTTAAAAGAAATATATCTAGCAATAAATGAAAAGTTCTTTTTATATTTACGCAAGTTCCACTTGGGAACTATATAATATTTATCTCGCATAGCGACGCTATTTATAAAATAAATTTACCCCCCCCCCCGACCCTCATAAAAATAAAAAGATTAAATAAAGTAACAACACTCTTTAACTATATGTAGGCCAAATAACTGCATATAACATACTTGGGACATGTAAAATTATAAAAATATCACTTTTATCTTTTATAAAGAAATTTTAAGTAGGCTTATGATAAATATTGTTACTGGTAACTAATTTTTTTTGTAGCCAAAAGATTATTTATTTTTTTAGGAAATCGTCGATGTTTTAAAAATTCTGCTCCACTCAAAATTGTTTTCCAACCATAGTAATGGGATAATAGTCATTTCAAATTTTGTAATAATTTATTTTTTTTTAAAAATAAAAAGTGGATTAAACCAGAAAAGCAAAATTAAGATATAATGTCTTATTTTAAAATAATAATTTTCTTATAAATAAATGGACTCACCCCACAAAGCGGTTGGTATCAATAGGGATCATTTCTATAGTAGGACTTTTAGAGTGTTAATTACATCAACATAATTAAACACATTGATCATGTAATAACGTATGCCCCTAACGCCTAGGTTCAAGAGCGCACAAAATAAAAATTCCTGATCACTGCGCAAGATGAAATTCTTCAAGGATCCCGCAAGTGCGTTTGGTGCGTACTATTTTATTTTGTTTTTACAAAAATAGTCTCAATTTAAATATAATATAATAAGCTTGCGGTATAAAAAGGTGGTGAGACTTTAGACTTTTAATATAGTTCTGGAGTGGTGGCGTTCGCGTGGTTTGGGGGGGGATGGGGGGGGGGGCACTTATTGAGAATCCTATAAAGTGCGTCACTTGAATTCAAGTTTTTTTCAAGTACTTCCGGCAGATGGGAAAATTACCCATAGCTGGCGCCATTGTTTGCTGTGTAGTTAGATAGTAAATATCAAATATTCCTGTGGGACGAGGATCATTTGCAAAAAATTGTAAACCAAATATGTGCATGTTATATGCAGTAGGAAACACATCCAACGTGATATCAAAACACATCCAACGTGACACCAAAACACGTCCAACGTGACATCAAAACACGTCCAACGTGACACCAAAACACGTCCAACGTGACATCAAAACACGTCCCACGTGACATCAAAACACGTCCAACGTGACATCAAAACACGTCCCACGTGACATCAAAACACGTCCAACGTGACATCAAAACACGTCCAACGTGACATCAAAACACGTCCAACGTGACATCAAAGACAAAAACAAAAAGACGCCGAAGATATAGACCGTGGCTTTTATGTGTGTTTGACATTTTGTACATTTAGACCATTTAAAAGCTTTAAAAAAACATTTTGAAAAATAAACTTTTCATCGGCTCCATAGAGTATAAGATGAATCACCATGCAAAATTCTAACTGGTATATAGCTTGTTGTTCTTGAGATGAGTGAGTGAGTGATGCTTGTTTTATATATATTGTATATATAAGACAAGCATCACTCACTCACTCATCTCAAGAACAACAAATATATAAATATATATGATAGAGTAAGACAAACGGATTCAGTCACTTACAATGCTGCATGGAGTTTGTGCTTCAAAAGCCGCACACCAAAATATGAGAACCTCTATTGCCATGACTCAAATAAGCAGTACTATATACACAATATATTAACACTGACGTGGATTCCTATTAGAAAGGTTAAAAATCGCGAATCGGAAATTTCCATTATTTTCCGTCAGGTCGCGTTTCTTGATTATCCGATCCTTAAGTCAAACTGAGTCAGGTGACGCTCAGGCGTAGGGATATCACAATTCGGGAATTACTTTTTGTACTACAAACGAATTTCTCGTCAACAAAACATCACAGTAAACAACGCGTTGTTTGTTTCAACACGTTACACAAGACCCAGTTGAAACGGTCTATTTATTGTCCTATATCTGCTTCAGATACAACAAATCGGTTGTGAGAGGTTTTCCCATTGTTTTTTTTTAATTTTAGCCAGTCACAGCTTCTCGGAGCCTGTCACAGCCGGTCACAAGTTGTCACAGCCAGTCACAGCTTGTCGCAAGTGGTTGCTTTAGGCCAGGACCTGTCAAATCTAGTTATCTGCAATGAACTTATAAACTCAGTGAAACTGGTGAAAGCGTTCTCAAGCGTTTCAAGTCGACACCGCATACATTTATGTTAGATCAAAAATGTCCCTCGACTGCCTCATACGAGGTTAAATTCCGGAACATGAAAACACGCACTAAAATGTAATTTTAAATAATAAATATTTATTTACATGTCATAAATTGATGCACAAGATCACGAATCCTCTTAGGTCATTGTTTCATCCAGTGACACCCCCCCCCCCCAAAAAAAAAAAATGTTGTTTTTTTTAATCGCCACTTATGTCACTTCCCATAGGCTGGGAACCCTTGCACTGGTAATTGATTATATGACCAGGGGCTTCGTGTGTCGAACTTACTTTATATTTTTTCATGTTTTTTGTTTTTTGTTTCCTCAATCAAATTAATAAAAGATATACATATCTATATATATATATATATAATTATATTGTATATATTATATATATTTGCACGTGCATAAACATTACAATTCGAAAGGAAGCTCCAAATTCAAATAAAGTGCAGATGTTTCGATCGTAGCTAAAGATTCATTAAAGTAGCCTGGTTATCTTTTAATAAAGCTAAGCAGTGAAACATGAAGCAACTAAAAGTGAGTGAGCAACTTTAAAAAAAAAAAATAATTAAAAAAATTAAATCTTTATCGGCTTGTTTTATTCAATGTGCCTGTCTGCATTCGGCCCGTAGGTTGGCCATATCTGGATTTAAACGTTAGGGCTTTATCTGATATTACGTGTTGTCTAGAGTACCGATGCTCTACAACCCCTTTTCACCCAAGCCACTTACATACCCTTCCCGTAATGCCGCGGCACCGAAAAGTAAATGCATGTACATAATATTTCAGGTTAAACAGAAAAAAAACACCAAAAAAAAAAAAAAAACAAAAAAACAAACAAAAAAAAAAAAAAACAAAAAAAACCACTTACATACCCTTCCCGTAATGCCGCGGCACCGAAAAGTAAATGCATGTACATAATATTTCAGGTTAAACAGAAAAAAAACACCAAAAAAAAAAAACAACAAACAAACAAACAAACAAACAAACAAACAAAACAAGGTGAGATAATGTTGAGAGTTTTATAATTTTTAATAATTTATTATAGCAACAAAAATTCCAATTGCCACGGAAATAACGTATATGTAAAAACAGAACACATCTTTATGTTAAGTATTATTGGAGTTCAGCTGTTAGTGTGGGCGTAGATTATTTTTTATGTCAGGTTTTATATGTTACATAGTTTTTCCAAAGTTGACTATTTGTGTTTTCAGTGAAAACGCTCACAAATGTTGATGAAAAATAAGTTTAAAAAAAAAAAAAGTTCTTCATTTGAAAGTAGCCTCAAACAGTAGTGGCGCTGCCACAGGCGACATAAATATTTTTAAAAATCAAGTCCAAGAAAAAAAACCCGTTAATATTGAATTTCACATTTAATTATGATGAATGTTAATTTCAGTGTCCAGTCATTTCTCAGTTGCCCAATTTTCTCTTGAACCCGAGGAGGGCGTTGATGCAAGGATTTTCAGCGAGTTAAAGCGAAATGTTGATGATGCCTCGTTTATGACCCGTATCAGGCTGAGTGGACGTGGTCGTCAACTTTCTGCTGCTGCTTTCTTGCACTGTTAAACCAACACGCACCGATTCTTTGTACTAGTGACCTGGTCGATTCTTTTGATGCATTTCTTATGTAGTGTTTTTTTTGTTTCAGTTTGTTTAATGTATCTGAACACGGTACAAATTCTCATTACGTCCTTGAATTTTTAAAAAAAAATCCATTTCTCCCAGACTTTTAAACAATAGTTCACCTGGCGACAGTTCATCTGGCAATAGTTCAAATGGTGGTGGATAATTTACCAGGTAGGTGTTCAACCATTTATGCATATGTTGGAAATCGTCTTTATAAACGTGAAGTAAAACCATTTTTACTTCCCCGTGATTCCCAGCAACATATTTGGAAACAGTCACACAACTAGTTCATTGTGTCGAACGTTCTAAGAAAATCATGAGTCACTCGAAAAAAATGTTTTCTCATTAGTTTCGCGCTGGGGAATTCCATTTCAATTATTTTCACTCTGATGGAGTCCTAATCACCGAAACCTACACCACCATATATGATGTATACACAAATTGATTTATACACACTATCCTAGTGAGACGAAACCTTTATATTTATTGAAGAATTTTGGTTCATCCATAACGGGGATGATTTCAACAATAGCATTTTATTTTCTCCTACCTTGGAAAACTGTGCCAGACGATCTCGTTCAAGCAGTTCCCGAAGAGTATGTTATCTTCATCACGCACTAGTTTTTATTTGAGATAGCGAATCAACTTTTCATATGGACCAATAAGCTTGATAAATTTCCAGTGCACATACATGACAAACCATATTCGCCAGCTATCAAACTTTGATAACTATTGTTACATATTTTAAAACACACTCTAAGAACATTAACGTGACCACCGCACAGTCTACGCCTTTCCAAATCTACGAAGCAGTTCCTCGCTGACAGCTAGACCTTCCTCGAGGCATAAAGTGGACGAATTAGAATTCTTTACCAAAACGGAGAAGAAAGATCCAAAGAATTTTTTTTTTTCATCACAGTTTCGATTTTTGGTTCCCTTCACTGCCAAAGGTCTGGGTGGCTTTTCCCTCATGATTGTCTGTTTCTCTTTCGTACAGTTTCATCGTGAGAAATCCACACGTCGGAAAGAGCCTCTTGTGCTCTTTTAAAGGATCGTCCTTTGGTTCCCACCTCCGCAGCCCCCCACCACAAAAGTAACACCTGACTCGGTCTTCTTCGCCTGAAATCACAGTTAGAAAAATGGACATGTTCAGAAAATTCCCTTTTTTTAATTTTTAGAATGTTTTTATCATCATTCATAATAAATACATAATTTCTTCCTATACGTTTCGGATGCTCTAACTTTTAAGACTCTTAAAGGAAATAGTAGGAAAAGGTCTGTGGAAGCTTCAAATCGAAAGACAGGACAGTAAAAGAAAAATGTTTCGGCTAAGAGCCTTCCCCCAGCAGACAGAACAATTTCGCTATCTTTCGGTCCAAGCTTCCACATACCCTGCTCTACTATTTCCTTCACCCAGCTTGAAGGCAGTACCTTATTTATTATCCTTAATACTCTTAAAGTTGCTTTGCGGGTTTTAATGGGAGTAAAGTAGTAATATGACGTAACAAGAGGAGATATAAGTCCTTTGTGAAGGCATCTGGGAAAAAATTGTGAATGTATCTGGTTCCATTTAATAAGAAATAATGAGAGATAAAATACTACCAAAAAAAAAAAAAAAAAACAAACCACCAATTAATACACACCTATGTACCAAAAATGACGTAACAAGAGGAGATATAAGTCCTTTGTGAAGGCATCTGGGAAAAAATTGTGAATGTATCTGGTTCCATTTAATAAGAAATAATGAGAGAAAAAATACTACCAAAAAAAAAAAAAAAAAACAAACCACCAATTAATACACACCTATGTACCAAAGTCCAGCTCTAGCCACCAATTCGGGTTTTAAAAAATCCACTTGCCACTTTTCGTTAAACGTGTTTAACCTCACGGTATATTCTTCAAACTCTGGTCTCTTTGGCAGCATTTTATACTGTAGCTGTGTCGTGGTTACCTTGTTGCTCAACATTTTAAAAATATTTTTACTTAGTCCTATTGTTAAAATCAATGACAGTATGACTCCTCAGCAGTAAAATCTGTTCAAAGAATAAATCTACGGCTTCCTTCACTCTGTGCATATATGCTCTCTTCGTGCTCATATTATCTGAAGGGGGAATAGAAAAAGGATACATTTCTTTCACGTGAAGAACAGGTGAGTCATGGCCACGAGTTAAGATCTGGAAAAAGGTTGCACTAATGCAGTGTTCGGATACCCGCAAGGCCCATAGGTATCATACGGCTTTTTGAAGACAGATCTATTTTTTCGGCTTTTTTTTTTTCTATATTGATTTTAATCCGCATCTGCTTTGGCTTTCCAAAATATTTTCTAACTGACATGATTTATAACAATGGCTCCCCATTCAAAGAAAAAGTTGCCGACCTTGTCTTAATATTTTAATAGGCAGGATAATGGGAAGTAAAGGAATAAGAAAATGTTTAGACATTATATGATTTTAAAATCACTTTACCCGAGTATTAAATTTTTTTTTTTTTTTTTAAAGATTATTCAAAATACTTTGGTAACGGCAATGACATAGCTAGGGTATGTACTACTCGGAGCCGGTCAAGCTGTTTTAGACGCCTACCCAACGAAATAATAATATCTACAGTGGGTCGAAAATGCCGACCATCAATGTAAGGGGAATAAAAATCCGCCTGAGGGGGAACGCTGTTCGCCCCCCCCCCCACCCCACTACGCCCCTTTTTAACGACAAAACATAAAACCTAGAAACGAACCCAAAGAAATAATAATATCTACAGTAGGTCGAAAATGCCGACCATCAATGTAAGGGGAATAAAAATCCGCCTGAGGCGGACCGCTGTTCGCCCCCCCCCCCACCCCACTACGCCCCTTTTTAACGACAAAACATAAAACCTAGAAACGACCTAAGAAAAAGAAAAGTAACAAATAGATCTTTATTATAATTTTTTTTTTTAAATATCTATTTTTTCAAATATTTTATTACTATGTTGGATTAAAAAGTTCATGTCTGCAGGAAGAAACAAACAATTTTCGAATTTTAAAATCATCGGGTAGAAAAAAAATAAAGAACACAACAACTCTGCACGCCTCATGAGATACAGTTTGGCAATAATGAAGAGTCTACCAATACACCTGAGTAGAAATAGTCGTGTAGGATTGAGATTAAACCGTCCGATTAAATGGTGACTGTACAGTTAAATTTGGTCCTTGCGTACGGGACTGTTTTAAGACACAATAAGATTATCATTTTCTTTTAAAATCAAAAAAAAAAAAAAAAAAAAAAAAAAAAAAAAAAAAAAAAAAAAAAAAAAAAAAAAAAAAAAAAAAACAAAAAAGAAAAGTGGTTCGATTGTATTCTATACATATTCATTTTTAGAATATTAAAAGCAAAAAAAAAAGTCCACACATCAAGAGAATAAGAAAGATAAAGCAATAGAAGGGAAAACATCACTCAATTAAAATCACAAGCACATCGAATCAACATATCTGATTATCGTTTTTTAATCAATTTTTTTTTTCTTAAATAACAAAAATAAAAATGACTGACGTAATTTTAATGATTATTTTATGACTTTCCGCATGCGTGTCTTAGATAACATATCACATGTAAACAGATTCAAGTGTGGATGTTTGTATAAACGTGAATCATTGAATATTGTGCAAAAACGACCCAGACGATGTCATCTTCAGGCTGCTCCTATAAATCTTATCGGTCAAGGATTACAGTAAGCATGGCGTCATGAATCTTTTTCGAGACCAGCTCAGCTGCTCTATAAATAAATCTTACCTAAATTGGAACAGAGCCAAACATTCCTTGACATTTTTTGGTCGCCTTCTTGGCATAAATTTTACATTCTTCACAAAGATGACGGGTCATTTATTTCTCTGAACGGGTTTGACTTGGCAAAAAAGCCCACTTCGCTGTAGTGCTTCATAACATGAACACAAAGGTCTATCAACTCTAATAATGTAATGCTTGGTTATGACATCATGGTTCTTTTACGTCTCCGGTACGTCGGAATACACCGATGTTATGTGTATTGTGTAAGTGGGAGGTCGAACTCTTTGAGTTGGTGTTGGCATTTACAACGAAACATAATTAATACGATGATGTTATGTTTTTAAACAGGCTATTATTTTTTTAAACATATATTTATTGTTGTTGTTATTATTATTATTATTATTACTGTTTTAAATATTTAAAAAAAAATATTATTGTCATATTTTGCACGTAAAATGACGATTTTGGCGCCCTCTGTAAATGGCGCCGTGGCGGGTGCCCCCTTTAATCCCCCACCTGCTTTTTTTTTTTTTTGCGCACGACCTTAGCGTAAAGTGTCCTTTTACTTTACAAAACAGCATTAAGCCATATCTGCACTATACTTCAGATTGTTTCCCCTTGGCAACGGGAAGGTAAACAAGATGACGAACTACTTTTTACCGACAAATAAAATAGGAAATTCAAATTTGACGACAAGAAAGATTTTTCCCACATATTTATTTTTAGGCATTACGATTTTCCCCTTTAGTGAAACTACGATTACAAAATAGTCCTTGTGACGTAGAATGTTCTAGAAGGGGCGGTTAAATAGTCTATCACTACTAACCGATAATTGGTTTTAAAATGTTTCGACACCTTTTAAACACAAGCTATAAAAAAATATTAAATAAATTACGACACTACTTCATTAAGTTCTTTAAAATGTTTAAGGCACCACACAAAATGAGTGCGTTGTTCAATTATGTTTATCTTATTAATAATTTTTTGTTTGTTTTAATTTGTCTTCCACTAGAAACTTGATGTGCTAAATTCTTTTAAATTAATATATTTATTAAAATTATTCTTTTTTTTTTTTTCCTCATCATATTTATTGAAAGTGTGCAGATTTAATCAAGACTTTAATGAAGGGTATTGAAATGAATATCAGTTTAAAAAGTAACCACGTACATGTTCATTGACGACCACCACATCTCCCCCTTTTATTGTCCAGATTAATATATATACCAGGCTTTCCTTTACTACACCCCCCCCCCGCCCTCCGTTCTCCCAACCCTCTTTTATATTTTAAATAAGACCGTTTCATTATTGACTTAACAAGCTAGCAAAATAACCTTTCCAACTATGGAGTTTAAGTGATTTTAATCCCTTATTGTAACGCTTCATAGTACACATTCATCCATCAAAGGAACGAACATAAGTTGTACAAACGAAGGAAAATTATTTCTGATTTCACTAATATTTAAAATGTAAATATCAAACCTACCTTTAATTTGCACCCTAAACATTTGTTACGACTAAAACATTCAGCGAGCCATGCATGCCAGAGATATGGATCTAAGAAATTGACATGCAGCTTTTATAGGAGGTAGTGGTGGGTTTTCCCGATATCTTAAAATAACCATATAGATGAAGCGGTCTAGAGCAGTAAAGAGCGGTCAAAGTGGGTGAAATAGCCCCCACTCTCCTCCCGCCGGGTACTTGATAAAGGCCTACGATGGTCCCCAGAATGGCAAATGAGCTTTCATTTGTTGCTCGGACATTGACACTGGGGATTTAAATCAAGAATTAAAATAAATGACGAAAATTCTAAAGTCATTTTATGCATGCATGTTAGGGGTCGTTCGCAAATTACGGTCACGCTCAAGGGGGTTGGGGTGGTGGAGAATTCGTGACACTTTGTCAAGGGGGGAGGAGGAGGGGGGAAATGAGTGATGTCACGATATTTTTTAATTTATACAAATCTAAAATTTTCTAATTTTGAAAAAAACAACAACAAAAAAACAAACAAAAAACAACAAACAACTTAATTCAATTAATTTAAAAAAAAAATAATTTGAGGTCGAAATTGCCTCAGGTATAATAAGTACCTTGAAATTTAGTCGCGCACACCTTCTGCGCATCTGGAAAAAATGACGCAAAAACTGTTGTGGACATTTTACATACGGCTCGGTGAGGACTTTGTCGTTTTGCGTTTTACGTCACAGTTTTCTAATAATGCTACATCTTAATCCATCATGGGAAAATGTTAAAGAATAAAACACAATCTTAGTTTAGCTATGAAAATTGTATGCATGTCTTGAATATTTTTAGGTGTGACACGATACTAAGGGGAGGGGTGAAGAATTTGTGACACTTTGTGACGCAGGGGGGGGGGTGTCTGAAAAGGATATTTTTTGAGTGACGTAATTTGCGAACGACCCCTTAGGGTTCCCCATTTACCTGGGTTTTGCTTATCCCGGGAACACGGTAATGAAGTTTTCCTCATCCCGGAATTAATATAATTTAAATGAAACTGAATTAAATTATAATGGAGTTGATTTTCATAATGTTTAATTGTTATTTTCTATTAAGGAAACCAAAAAAGTGTTTAAGTTAGTTGAGAGTCTGACAGGTTGGTCACTTACTGCTAGTTGCTTCATTTTCCACTGCTTAATCCCTAATCATAGATAACTGGTTGAAAACAGACTTGTTAAGCAAAAGTTAGATATAATTCGTGTAGAAAAATCTCAAGACCTTATACGTTTTGTATTTTTCAGAGATGACTGAAATAATTACATGCTTAATGTTTCTAACAACTTTTAACAAGGGTTCGTTTCAATGTAAAAAAAAACAACAACACATTTTAATACAGGCATTTAATACATATATTATGCATATGTCTTACTATATTGATTTTGGTAAATAAAAACATAATTTAAAAGTAGTTTGACAGATGAACATCTTGGAATAATCAAGCTACTATAGCACAGGTTTACAGCCTACTTGGGCTGTGAAAGGATTTGTGTGGGGTCGCCGGCTGAAGCAATGGATTAGGTGAAGTAGGTGAAGTGATTTTTTAAATCGTCTTCTTTTAAAAAAAAAATTATGTCTTGAGATATGATTTACAATGGTATTTATTACATAATATGTCGTCACTGACATTATACTGGAAAATTCCAAGAATTTACCCCACCTTTAAAAAGCCCCCCCCCCCCACTCCAAAACGTGTCACAAAAAAAAAATTATGGTTTGAGGTATGATTTACAATGGTATTTATTACATAATATGTCGTCACTGACATTATACTGGAAAATTCCAAGAATTTACCCCCCCTTTAAAAAGCCCCCCCCCCCCACTCCAAAACGTGTCACTTTGCTTCTATGTGAAGGTGGTCGTGACTTGAAATTGCTTGAGAAACGATGTACTAGAGCTTAGTAATTCAGCCCAGTTAACTAGATTTTACAATCCTTAGCTTATAGCGACGATTTTGTGAAAATCTGTCTGTCACATGCTGCAATTAAAAAAAAAAAAAAAAAATTTAAACAAAACAAGATAATTGCATTCTCAAAGTGGGGACACGGAATTTCTCGGAATGGGACATTTTCAGTGAAGTCGTACACGATCTCGGGATCTCGGAGAGAATCATTTTCATGAAAGATAAGATGAGATAAGATTCTTTTATTGATCCAAACAAATGGAAATGTTTTATGATTGCATTGTACATTTTCAGCACATATATAAAACAATTTGAAGACATTTATAACAAACTATTTCACTTAAAAAAAGGCCATTCAGTGAGTTCTGTTAGCCATATCAGGAACTTTTTAGTTCTCATTAAGATTCGTGACTTCAGAACCAAATACGACCCACCTTGAGGGAAATTGAAAATGATAAAACGTCATTTAAGAAACATTTAAAGACTTTTCTCTTTAAATAGATTTTAGGACATCAAAGCGCAGTGAGCATGCTGAAATAGCATGGGCAAAAGCGCTATCAAATTATTCAATCAATCAATCAATCTAACTGATCACGAGATCACCGTCCACAGCAAGTGTCTCCCGTGAATCCAGGTGAATATCGGTGGATTTTTGTGAAGCTTTTAGGCAGTCCTTGAAGAAAGCGTATTTTTTTCTTTTCCGCCCACAAGCTGAGCGTTTCCCACTGGAGAGTTCGCTGAAAATTAGTCGCTAAGGAAGTCTGCTGTGTGGCACTCTTGCATCATGCCATGCCCACCTGGAGTGTCCTTTTTGTAGGAGCGGTTTCAATAGCGAACTACAGATGTGTTCAACGGCGGTGAAAACTAAATATTCTTGGACTTAAGTGTTTTCTTAAAAAATTAATAACATCATTTTTTTTTTGAAATTTACCAACTTAGAATTAATTTGAATCCGATAAAATAAATGGTTATATTCAAATATATTATTTAATCATTTATATGAAAGTATTGCTATAATAACTAAGGCTTTGTTTTGGGTATTTATCTGAATGTGAGATTTAAAATTATTTTTATACCATTTGAACAACAAAATTACGGAAACGGAAATTCAAGTTTTCCCGAAAGTCCCCAATGAAAGGAGATTGACACAATCCTATCATCTACTATTATTATTAATAATTCCAAAGCAAATATAAAGTTTAACATAATAGTAATTTATATATAAACCTTAAGATGATGTGATATTATGTATGACTGACGTTAATGGATATGAGGTTTCGGTGGTGGTTAAAACCCATTACGATGATATTAGCTACATCGCCATGAGAAAGCCGCTCCTAGGCGACCGTTTCGTCCAAGCTGCAGTCCCGACCGAAAGACTCACCGGGCGGTGTGGAGTGGTAACGCAACCCCTTTCCCCGGAGTGGAGGCAAATCCCCCCAGACTCAAAGACAGAGTGGATCGCGAACACTTTAAACGCAGCGTTTTCGGTCGACCGCACGTCCCGAAGGCCGGGGGAAGGTTCCCGACGTGCCGCCGCACTGTCTGGCGGCGGGGAAACCCGGTGTCTGTCCCGTGTGGAGGTGTGCCGGGGGAGGGTATTAAGAGCTCCTTCTCCACGACCCACCGACGCCATTTCTCAAGGTGACACATGACTGACGATTATTGTTTTGTGTGGATTGAGTGAACATTGTGACCCGATTGACCTGTGTTGTTGTCACGGGGTATAACTGGACCTAGTGAGTTGATTTCATGAAAGTTTAAACTTAAAGGTGTGAATATTGGTTGGAGAAATGGAGTGAGTAATCATGCGATAGAGGGTAATAAAAAGAATGTAGAATGAGGAAGAAAGAATGAGTTTTACAGACCACATACGAGTTGGGATCATATTTTACTGTTACAGATTATCTTGACGCACTTATGGTCTTTTAGTTAAATCTTTATAAACTAGAATAAATGACCCGATATTATCGGGATA